GACGAGGTAACAATGGAAGCTGTACTCGGGGAATAACTAGCTCGTTCAACATAACAGTAAGAAGCAAAGGATCTGGCATGAAAGGAGAATGCTGGGCATCCGCATCCTCCACGTTAGCAAAATAGTCAACACCACACAGAGAGGCATGCACATCAAACAATGCTCGCATAGCAAGCTTTATCATCGCAAGGCTTCAATATGCATCAACAATCTGATTATAAAACCTAAATTTGCTATCAGTTGGATTCATAAAGTTAAACTGAGGTTTCATAACCACTTTCTTTGTCAATTCCCAACAAAAATACGCCCCGTAACGCGCCACAAACAGAGCTGTGAGCTTCATAATACCAAGCTCCTTGAGATCGTTCCAGCAAAGAGGAAATAAATCGCCAAACATCGAAGGAGAAGGCTCAACATCGTATTGTGCATCCCTTACAGACCCCACTGGAAGATGCACAAGTGTATCAGGCTGCATTTCTCTTAGCCGGTTCACCATCATTGAAACGGTTTCAGATGGAGGCATGTTACCCAAAAATTCAACGTCATCCATGTAAGCAAAACAGTCAACACCACCCATAAAGGCATGCAAATCAAGCATAGCCGTAGCCGTCCCCCATCCATCCTCCAGCTGAAGAAAGTTGAGAAACCGGTTAAGAACAATGCTGCACAAGCACTACTCTTCTTCGGCTTTTTGGAAAGCTTTAATACCCTGATATACGTGTCCCAAACGTCGCTGAAGAAATGGCTATCACGGCTATCAGATGACGACATGAACTCAAACAGAGGGCTACTACCCACTCTTTTCATCAACCATACCTAAAAGGATTCCCATAACGCGCCGCAAACAGAGCTGTGAGCTTAATAATACCAAGCTCCTTGACTGTGATCCCCTTCGCAGGGAATCTAAAGACTCGCCTCATCGGATCCAGACCAGTAAAACAATCATGTGTATATTTATCTTCTTTCGGAGGAAGGTATTTAGTAAGCTGAGATCCCACTAGAGGCCAGTTCTTCATCATTGAAAGGCGTTCAGGTGGTGGCAAAGACATCCTCCAAGTAGGTAAAATAGTCAAGACCACACACAAAAGCATGCAAATCAATCATAGCCGTCTCCACTCTCTCCTCCAGCTTCTCCAATTGTAGAAGGCCGAGAAAATCCTCAAGAAGGGCCGCCGTACAAGCATCCCACTTCTTCAGTTTTCCAGATTTCGTTAGTACTTAGCAGTATTTAGAAGCAAGCCTGTTGAAAACAATGAAACTGCTTTCAGTTTGCTCCATAAACTCCTTCCTCTGGATCGAAGCCGGACGAAAATACAAAAACTCAAACTGAGGTTTCATAGCCACTCTCCTCATCAAAGCCCGCTGAAAAGAAGGCCCATACCGAGCCACGAACTGCCCTGTGAGCTTAATAATATCAAGCTCCACGAGTGATATCCCAGATAAAGTTGGGTCCGCTGGTTGGATATCTTGAGCTCCATATTGATTCACAGGGGTCGTTTCTGTAAGCTGGTTCATAATCAATGAAAGGGGCTTATGTCGTGGCATATTAAGAGTACTGTCCATGTGAGCAAAAGAGTCGACACCAGTCACAAAAGCATCAAAATCAATTATAGCCGTAGTAGTAGCCGTCGTCGTCGTCTCCTCCAACTTGTTCACTGGAGGACAGTGGATAAACCGAGCAAGTAAGGACTTCTCGGAAACACCACCATGCAAAACCTCACTGTAAGGCTGTAATACTTGTTCATACGAGTCAACAAGCCGATAGAGTAACTGAGACTTAAACAGATGGATATGGTTACAAAATAAATTCAGCTCCTGCATCAAATCTTGACATAAAAACGACGTCCCATACCGTGCCATAAGCTGTGCTGCGAACTTAACAATACCATACCGTGCCATGGATATGGTTACAAAATAAAGTCAGCTCTGTAGGAGATATAGATGCACGACGATCGTTAGACAGATCCTTTGGAGGATTCTGAGCCTTAGTTTTGATCTCCAATTCCGGAGTTATGGCTCCTTTTGACATTATTTCTACATAAGAAACATATC